AGTAAAAGATCATCTGCCTCGCACACAGCTATCTGTTTGTTTTTAAATCAATTAACAGTCCTCCAAGAAATCCAGAAGACAAAATATAAAAGTGACTGTGCACACCCTGACGTGGAGACCCGGCTGAATAAATTATCCAAGCTGCCTCTATAGGTCATCCTTGAACAGGTCAATCTGCCAGCTTTTCATAAAAACAAGCAGCATGCTGAGCCCCCCCCCCCCCCCCCGCTGAAACTGTCCCTTATTTTTCAAAGTTATCATTGTCACAACATGCATGGACTGAACTCCCAATATTCCCACCATGACGGGGACAAAAATCCCATTTAGCTGGAGGGAATAAATGTTTTCAGTAACTTTACACAGAGATGCATCGTAGCGTCACTTGTGATCAGCAGCAGACAATTTCTCTGTCAGTAAATGCTTCACAGATGAATACAGAGTGAGCAGGAAGGACTTGGTTAGCTTTATCGATTAGGGCTGAATGATTTTGGAAAAATACTCTAATTGCGATTTTTTTTCCTCAATATTTTGATTTAATATGCGATTATTCTTCAATGTCTTCTTCTCATGTATTTTTCAACCAACAAACAATAAATCTGTTTCAGTTGTAAAAAAAAAAAAAAAAAAAAAAAAAACTCCACTGTTTTCAGTGCAGCTGCAACTCTGTTTCTGCATTTTTTTGTAAAGCTCTGGAATAGCAACTTGTCTAAAATGTGTACACGAGGGCATTCTGTACCGCTTATCCATTGTGTTTACTAAAGCTGTAAACCCAGGCTTGGTCACTATATTAATGATCATCATGTCTTTCACTATGAACTCCGTTATTGCTCGAGTTATTGCCACGTGCAATTTTGAATTATGTTCATACGGAGTAATACCTTTGAACAGTTTGGTCAACGATCCTGTCGACTGGTACTTTGCTTACTTGAAGTTGAAGCACTGGCCATTGACATTCTAGCCATGCAACTATCGTAAATGGCTTTGTGGTGTTTTTTTAAGTGTTGATAAAGATTTGTGATGTTACCTCGAGAGGTACCAACAGCAGCAAGGCACGTTCTGCACAATACATGTTGCGCAGTATCTTCTTATTTATAGTCAAAATAATTCCAAACAACGAAACATGCTGCTCCTCTTTGGAACCAAACTTTCAGATGAATCAGCTTCTGTCGAGCCTGACGCCACTGTGCAACAAGTTAAAGCACAGTGTTGACTTCTCCTGCTCCCTGCTCTGCTTTGCTCCACTCAGCTTACTCGCGAGTCACTTAATCAGATCACCTGAACAATCAAATCGTAGCCTTTGCGATTACATAATATTGTTTTATCATATTGCAATGTTATTGCAAATCCAATTAATTGTTCAGCCCTATTATCGAGGTCTAAAATTAAAAGTCGGAGGCAGATCAAAAGGTAGTAGCTGGAAACGGTTTTCTACAACAAGAGTTTCAATAAGAGTACTTCTTGAGAATGGATTACAGAAAAGTTGGTCTGTTTAATTCCTCTGAAGTCTCCACCTCCATCTGTCATTGAACACTGAGGCTGCAGCCCGCTGGAAAACTTTGAAATGAGGTAGACCAGGACTATTCAACTAAATGACTCAGGGGGCTACAGTTACTGAAGGCAAGAGCTCAGGGGCCCGACATCCAGCAGTTAGCAGTTATTCTCATTATATAAAAAAACTTTTTTATTTCACATCTAGTTTTATTTAAAAATTAACCCACTGGTGGGCCGAACTGAGCACACCTGTGGGCCTGATTTGGCCCCCGGGCCACCAGTTGAACAGCCCTGAGGAATGCTTTATTTACCAACCCAGAGACTGCCGTTACATTTAACTATGCAAAGTTTGCCTATGAGACCTGTAAAAGATGGTCAAATGTCAGAAAAGTGATTGTTTAGTCTTTGTTATAGGAAAACTATTTCTACTGTAGTGTGATGTCCAGCTCCATTTGTCTGTCCTCAGTTTAATGATTGTCCACAGCATGAGGATGATAGTGCAGTGAAATGAACAAATCTAACTTTTTTAATTAATTAAATTAATTTATTAATATCAAATGCCTGTTGTCCATTTACAGTCAGCAGATATAATTTATTTTATTTCTTTCCAACTTTGTTTTGGATTTTAAATTTTAATGTCCATAACCTACTTTATTAGTAAAATTCTAATGTTTCTGCAGCCAAGTGATTAACGGTGTGTTGAGCTGCAGCATTGGCTGTAAACTGTCTGTCAGCCTGCCACTCAGCAATTTAATCTATCTTTGAAATAATGACCCATTTAATAAATCGAACAACAGAGATGACCGCACTGACTGCTGACACTGAATGGCAATTTTTCACGTTTTATAGGATTTTATAAAAATTAATATTTAGCATTTTGTAAATTTCATAGAGAAGTCTAAATTGTTCAAAATGCTCAGAGCTGTACAAATATTGGAAAATGACATACGCCCAGAAAATTCAGAGTTGGTGCATCTCTATTTATGAACCTCAAATCCAGATGTTTCTCACACATGTGGGCTCTGACTGCTGACACAAGATGGTCCCCTTCCACAACAACTATCCCTTGCAAAAATATAAAATAAATAAACAAACAAACTTGTTTTGAACAACACTACGTTTCCTAGCCTGTCCAGAAAAAAATATGTACTTCAGGAATCAGTGTATGAAATATCAGCATCAAATTATTCACCTACAAAATATCAACTGGATGAACTAAATGCCTAGAATTAAAAAACTCAGCTGACATTTTCACTGCAATATTCAAAAATAACAAGTAAATGGTAATACTGCAGTTCTATGGATTCTTGAAAATGTAATGCTCCTGATGTCAAAAGCCGTGGCCTCTAAACTCAAATTAAATGTAATTTGTTGGTGACAGCGTGTTCTGGGATTCTGACCACAAGAAGAAGAGAACAGCCTGGCTCTGGATCCAGATGTTCAGTAGCACACTGACTTCTTGTGCTTCTTGTGAACCACTGGCGGTCAGAGCCAACACATGTATGCACTTTTTACACATTAGAAACTTGTCTTTAATCATGAGCACTCTATGTGCACATGGAAGAGAGAGTAAAATGTTTAGAGACGCTCGACGACAGAAACCTCGGCTTCACGTGAAAGCGCAACAAGTGGAACTTGATTTAAATTTTATATACTTATGCTTTGACAGTCGACTAACCCCAAACTCACTGACTCAAGGGAAGTTTCTCGGATTAAAAATAGATACTGCATCATTCGGCATCTGTAAACGACATCGAGGTTTTTATTTTTTTCCACTTATTCTGACTTTTGTCTCAGTTTGCTCGTTGTTAGCTGGCAGCAGAAAGGTTAGCAACTACTGAGCCACTCGGCGTAAAAATGACAGATTCCTCCGCCGGGTCTGGTTTTCATCTCCGCCTCGGAGAGAGCCGTGGGCCGGGTGCACAGCGGCAACAAGTGAGCCTTACCAGAGTTTGTTCATACTGCAGGGCTCGTTGGTCGGACCCGTCAGCCATGGTCCTGCTGCCCCCCCGGCGACTGGATAGAGGTTTTCGGCTTGAAAGTGAGAGGAAGCCCCGGCAGCGACGTCTCCGTGCGCTCGGTGTTTTAACGCATTGACTCAGGTCAGGTGTGTGTACAGGAATCCACCGAAGGAGCTCTGACTGCGGAGCGGGCACAGGTCAACAAAAACACCGTCATTTTATACACACAGTCCTCAGGAAGAAGTCCCGCCTCGCACGTGCTTCCTTGACTTCGACCCTCCCTTTGAAAAGTGAAGAAACTCCCACTGTGGAGCAGAGCTCGTGAAGAACACCGAGGTGCTCTGCAGTTCCCTGAAACAAGGAGCTGGGGATGGTGAGGGAACCAGGTGAGACTGGAGTCTAAGTGCTGAAAAACCACGTTTTTCCCTTCTCGAAATGACATGAAAAAAAAATTAAATTGGTTAATTGAAGCTGTTTAAGCTGATTTTTGTCTAAATCAGACAGCCGTTATTCAAAGTTCGTTCATTCAACCTTTCCCACTGTGCGACGGACTCGATATAGACGTGATTTGAACGTCCATTTGACGTCCAATGTTTAGTGGGTTATTTCTACAGGTTAATTCCATTGAGCCTCTGGAACTCGTTTACAAGATAGACCTGAATTTTAGCAATTTAGCAATCAAAGAGTGATGACAACAGTAAATATACACAATCATAAAGGATACAAAAAGGTTAAATCATTTCCTCTGGACCAGTTTCTTTAAGGGAGAAACGTTTCGTCTTCCATACGGAAGACTTCATCAGTCTGTGACCTGCCAACCAGATCTGTCCCATAAGTAGCCTTCATTGCTGTGTTTCAAGCCAACCTCCTGTTGGAATCTCAGAAGCCGGCTTTTAACACATGCAAAAGTTTCTCCCTTAAAGAAATTGGTCCAGAGGAGATGTGTAGGGTTTTTTTCAACCTCTTTCCACCAGGTTCCTGAAGGCAGGGGCGGCGCTGATGAGCAGCCGCAGCTGAGACCATTTTCCCTAATTGGTGCCAGGACTACTTAAGGCTCCAGTTGTCGAGATGGCTGGTTTTTAAAGGTAGAACCCAAGGATGCAGGCAGGACTCGGTAGACTCGGTGGTAAAATAAGAAGACGCTTTTAATAACACAAAAATAAACGGCTGTCAAGGCAGCAAAACTTACACGTAGAAAATCACAAGGAGGCACTCAGGAAAACACCAGGGACTCAGGAGGATTACCAGGAGAATACAAGACGATGCCCAGACAAGGAATAACACTAAGACACAGACTTATATACAAACACTGATAAACACCTGTCAGGCTCACAGGTGTGGGAAAAGGGAAATCACATGAGAGGAAACAGGACAGAGACACACCACTAGGGGCAATATCACCACATTACCCCCTCCTTAAAGGACGTCTCCAGACGTTCCAAAGACCCTGTCCCCAAAAACTTGGGTGGGAGGAGGGGGAAAAAACAGGACGGAGGGCACAAGGGAACACAAGAGGGAAACCAGGCACACAACACATAAAAGACAGACAAAAAGTTCAGGTGGGCAGCCAGGAGGTTGCCCACCCCGTTGAAGCCGGTCAGGCAAGCGGCCTGGAGGCTGTCCACCACGTCGAAGCCAGTCAGGCGGGCAGCCTGGAGGCTATCCACCATGTCGAAGCCGGTCAGGCAGGCGACCTAGAGGCTGTCCACCACGTCAAAGCCGGTCAGGCGGGCGGCCTGGAGGCTGTCCACCACGTCGAAGCAGGTGTAGTGATGTAGGGACAGCTTTGCTGTAGACACACTACTAATTAATTATTCTTAAAGCTAGTTCAAGCACAAAGAATATTAATTGTTTAATTACAACGGATTCTTTCTTTTTTGAGTTAAATTTCTGCCATGTGACCGAGATAACTGTGAGCAGATTGTTTAATCATTGACATGAGACGCCATTTTATCTTTGACCCATCAGAATAAATGCGGTCATTTATTTAACAGAATCAAACTTTAACATCAAAACATGTACACATTGATTTGCTGATCTGTTTCTGATTAATAAAACTTGGCACTCTTTACTAACAAGACAACAGAACATTGCTGATTGAGGCTGATTCACCTCTGAAGGCATCTAGATTACTGGCAAATAGAAGTTTAAGGAAGAGAAGGAATAGATTTAAAAGGAAGATGGATGAAGGAAGATGTGTTTGTTGACCAGAATTAGCACTCTTCTTTCAACACCAGCTCAAACCCCTGGCCCACTTAGTGTGCGACAACTCGTGACGTCTCTTTACCTTTGCAGTGGATGAGCTCCAGTATAGAGGTCCCTTTGCACGCTACCTTTCAGTGTCTCCGGTCAGGGTGGCTGGTCATCGTCAGAAGTCGTGTGGTTTACTCCGTTCAGCAGAACAAGCTTCCTTCGAAGTTGTAGGGCGTTACGCCCGGGTGAGTTCACAGCGAGGCTCTGTGACTCCGCTGGGATGGACGGACCCTCGTCTCACGGTCAAATCCATCAGCTATTGATTAAATCTGAAAGTTCCTTAGGAACTCTCAGTAAGACTCCAGTCAGAAATTCCACTCAGAAGTGGAAGACTCCTGGGAAGACTCAATGAAGACTCTAGGAAGACTGAAAGAAGACTGAATAGTCCCAGGAAGTGATGACTTTTTAAAGAGTACTCACTTCCTGTCACTTGGTATTTCCTGATTGGTTGAAACAACCAGCAGGGGGGTGGTTCTAGTGATGTCAAAGGGTTATTAAGAGTCAAAAGACAGCAGGAATGTTTACGAATGATTAGTACAGACAGAGAAATGTTTTGAAGAAGTGAGAAACCTTGCAGGTGCCAGTTGCTTCTTATTTACTATCTGCTGAGTTTTAAAACAAGGCACTTCGTTCTCATAACTTGCTTTCTGACTTCTGACCGACATCCCTGACTTCTGACCGATATCAAATCCACTCATTCAGACAGAAGATCAAAATGCACAATTACTTTGTAAATAGACATTTAACTTGATTTCTAAGTCTAATGAGGTTTAAAAATCATTAATACTGTTTCACAGTTGATTTAAATGAGTGGTTCACTTCAACATTTAGAAATGGTATGAACTAAACACACTTTGATTATCAAGATATTCTAAAATAGTAATGATAATGTAAAAAAGAAGAGTGTTCTTTCAATTGATTAATTCAGGATACAATTAAATAGTCTCTTGATGAGATCATTTGTATTTCTGGATTCAGATCAATGAAATAACAGTTCCTGTCCCCTGAAGGTCTTCAGAGACAGGTTGAGGTTGGAGGCCTAGTTCACTACACAGAACTATAGATGCTGTAGAGCACCCAAGTGGCATTGACCCCTCAAGGTGAGACACGGACCCTTCTGTGGCAGGTTCAGGTCCGGTCATGGAATCCTCTGCAGACCGGGGACCATCAGGCTGAGGCGTGGAAACCTCAGGGGCTGCAGCAGGAGAATCAGAAACGGGTGGTGGAGTCAGGACTGCAGCAGGAGAACCAGGGACCAGAGACGGGACTGCAGCAGGAAAACCAGGAACCAGAGATGGGACTGCAGCATGAGAACAAGGGACCAGAGACGGGGCTGCAGCTGGAGAACCAAGGACAGGAACCAGAGACGGGGCTGCAGCCGGAGAACCAGGAACGGGAGCCAGAGACGGGGATGCAGCTGGTGGTCTTGGTTTGGTCTGGTCATTCTGTCGAGATGGCTGGTTTTTAAAGGTAGAACCCAAGGATGCAGGCAGGACTCGGTAGACTCGGTGGTAAAATAAGAAGACACTTTTAATAACACAAAAATAAACGGCTGTCGAGGCAGCAAAACTTACACATAGAAAATCACAAGGAGGCACTCAGGAAAACACCAGGGACTCAGGGGGATTACCAGGAGAATACAAGACGATGCCCAGACAAGGAATAACACTAAGACACAGACTTATATACAAACACTGATGAGGACAAAACACCTGTCAGGCTCACAGGTGTGGGAAAAGGGAAATCACATGAGAGGAAACAGGACAGAGACATACCACTAGGGGCAATATCACCACAGCAGTTGAGCTCCAGTCATTGCTGGAGCATTGTTCTACCTGCCGGTACATATGCCTCCAGCCCTGTATAGTGTTCAAGAAACAAAAAGACTTACCTTGTTTTTTGTCTGCATGTTTTCAGAGCCTTGATGTCCTGGATCCCGTCTTTTAATCTGAAGTATAGGAGAAATCCCTGGAGGATAAACTTACCTGTGACTCTTGGTCCTCAGCTGCTTCCACACACCTTCCACCACTTACCTCTGTAGACTGCCTGGCCGTCGCTCTTGGAGGAAAAAACCCTCAGCCTTGCTCAACTAGCCATCTTTACTCCTTTCACTGTAAGCGTCTCAAGACTTTGGTCAATCATCTGTTGGATAAGATGGAACATGGAAATGGTTTGACATATAGTTTTAAATTCAATATTTAAAATGCTATTCTAAACAACAGAGTTGGAAGATGTCAGAGATTTTACATTAATAGATAAAGTAAACATTTTAATGTTACAGCACTGATAGCAGCAGTGCTTAGCTACCTGTTAGCTGCTAGCTAGCTTACTTTACAGTCGGAGGCTGTTTCCTTACACAGTTACAGAATGGTAAATTGATAATGATGGATAACGTTACCACAGCTAACTAACATTTAAATACTGTTTTTATTAACCTTACCTTGCGCTATATCTTGTAATTTAACCTCTATAAATAAAGTTTGAATGAATGAAATTCTGTGAAGTTTACAGACAGGTCTCCCGAGTGAGAATAGACCTGGAAGTACTGATCCACATCGAGTCAGAACGTAAGTTGTCTGACGTCATGTGAAAAGGGTCTATTGTAAAAGACTGTGTGTTTGAATAAATGAATAAAGTATAAACAAACCTTTTCTTTCTTCCTCTTCTTCTTGTGAGATTTATTTGCGGTTGGAAAACATCTTTCTTCCTCCAAGTTTCTTATATGATTTGTTCTTTGTTCAACTGCCCCTAGTGGTCTGGAGCACTTCCGTTTTTATGGAGCGAGTTTGAGTGTTCTATTTCATATAGGCTTCGCCCTTTAAGGCTGTCGCTTAGTGGGTTTATCCCGTCATGCGAACCATTACACTGAAAAATTTAGTCCACGCCCACCTGCTGTGTGGGCCCTACCCGGTCCGTATAAATTATGTTAAGAGCGGGTAATCGGCTCCCATTTTTCTTCAGCGAGCTAATATCACTGTCAGAAGAACGAAGAAGGAAAGTTTTCTAGCTGACCAACCTTGGTTAAGACTGCCTGTGGCCCGCCACGTCAACCTCCTGTCGTCCCGGTGAGTTCTCCTCCCCGAGGAGAAACAGACGAGCAGTCTTGTTTCAAGGTAAGCGCCGAGGAGTATTTCTCAGTGGCAGGTCGCTACACGCTGGACGACACCATTTTGTAATTTTCCTCTTATCGCCGACCCTCAGAGCGAATCGGATGGTTCCTCCGGGACAGGCGACGTCAGCAGCAGCCTCCCGCTGCTCATTCCCTCCTGGAGAGCGTTGTCGGTACAGGGGGGCTGAGCGAATGCTCACCCCCCCCCCCCCACCTTGTTTCGCATTAACGACCACACCGCTCCCGGCCGCCGGTGTCCTCCTCTGGAGCTGCCCGACATAATCCAGGAGGCAGCTGACATGAAGGGACTTTTGCCGTCCCCTCTCCTTCCCCGCCCAGATCGGATGATCTAGCGGGAAGGTTTCTGGGCTCCACTCCGGCTCGCCTTCTTGATCCCATCTGGCCTTGTTTTCCCAGTGGTGGTGTCCTACTGGGACGAGGCTGCAGCCGGTCCTGGTAGAATAGGGCGCTGGTTCCCACATCCGCAACCATCATCAGAGTGGAGGGGTTTCACCGAGCGGAAATTCCCTCAGTGCCCCCTGGAACCGAGCATTGACGGAGGCCTTTTCGGAGTAAATATGTCTAGGTTGGACCAGCGTCCTGCGCCTCCAGGGAGGCATAACCAGATGGTGATGTCGCTCTCCAACCGAGCTCACCGGCATGCATCCCAGGCGGCCGCAGTGCCGCTGACATACAGCTTCTCAGAGGCCGGAGGGACAGACCTGCCTCAGGAGACGAGGAGCTCCCTCTGCAGGCATCTGACGTCACCCTCTACCTGTGCGCCTCGCCTGCTGTCTGCCTTGTCTCGCATTGCAGCCTAGATGACAATGGTGCAGAAGTCCACCCAACATGTCACTTCCCCTCCCTGTCGGAGGAGCTGCAGAAGGCTTTTTTGTCGGAGGGCCCCATCACGACGACGCGCTGTTCAGGACCAATTTCAAGGCCATGCCGGAAAAGTCGGATGAGTTGTCGGAGACTGTGCACATGCCTCCTCCCGCACCCCCGCGCCACAGCTGCAGCTGTGTCTTTTCCGCTGCCAGCCCCTCCCGTCAGAGAACAACACTTCTCATCCCGTCAACCAGTGGTTTCAGCGTTTCCCAGAGACCACCAACAGGTGTCGCCCTAGGATAAAAAACTGCAGGGCTCACAGGGGAAGAGATTTATGAAATGACACACGGCAGCCAGAATGAATGTGTTCACGGCACGAGCTTTGAAATGAAACACGAACATCATTCAAAGATTAATGTGTCTGTTTTTTCAGCCGGTCTGTCAGTCCAATGATGTCACAGCGGCTTCTTCTCACACACA